AAAAAAAAAAAAAAAAAAAAGGATGAGGGCCCAGGGTTGTAGCTCAGTGGCACAGCACTGGCCTGGCAAGGGTGAGGTCCTGAGTTCAATCCCCAGTACCCACCTACCCCCCAAAAAAGAAAGAAAATGGGGTGGGAATGTAGCACCATGGTAGAGAGCTTGCTCAGCATGTGTGAGGTTCTGGGTTCAATCTCCACTACCACAAACAAAAAACAGATACACACAAAAAATGAATTAAACTTGAAGAACACTAAAGAATTAAAAGTTCACAAGTTCCTTTCATGGTGTTTCTCAGCAGAGATGCCCAAATAAAAATTTAAATGGTTAAATAGCTATATCATCATTTCCATGATGTTTTCTAGTCTAAAGAAAAACTAAGTTTTAAGAACATAGTCTTTCCATGCAAATTGTTGATGTCCTAAGAGGAGAAAATTAACTACAATGTGTATTTATTTCTTAGCTGGTTCTAGTAAAAAACATGGCTGATTATCACCTGAAAGATGTTTACTGATTTTGGTACATTAACCTTACTTTTCTATTTCATAGACTGACTTGAGTTTTAAAAGAAGAGCTGGGGATTTAGCTCAATGGCATCGTACCTGCTTGGCAAGCACAAGGTCCTGAGTTTGATCCCTGGTATCAGAAAAAATAAAAAAGACATAAAAAACAAGAAGGAATTTAAAAATACTACCTGAAGGAAAAATAAATTTTTCTTTGGCAACTTCACCTTGTTTGATTGATTGATTGATTGATTGACTGAATGATTTTTGAGACAGGGTCTCACCATGTCATCCAGGCTGGCCTCAAGCTCTTGATCCTCTTGCCTTGGCTTCCCAACTAACTGGGACTATAGGCCTGCTCCCCTGCACTCAGGTTAAACAGTTTATTAATGGCAAAAAATAATTTTCACAGAGAAGTTCTATGAAATATCTAGTGTGCACATAAACCATTTGGAAGGTAATTTTATATTATGTATGGAAATGTTTAGAGTGAAAGTCACTTTTTTGGTCAGGAGAGGACAGTTCTGGGATTGAATCCAAGACCCTCACCTAGCAATGTTGAGACAGGTTTTGCTAAATAACTAGGCTGGGCTTGAACTTGCCATCCTCCTGCCTCAGCCTCCCAGTGTGGCAGGATTACAGGTACCACCTCTAGCCTTGGCTGATTTTTCTTTTCTTTTTAAAGAAATGAAGCCTGGCTATGTTGTCCAGGCTGGCCTTGAATTCCTAGGTTCAAAGCAATCCTGTTTCAGCCTTCAAGTGGCTGAAACTAGATAAATGTCATGCACAGGCCCTTTAGATATAATGTTTAAAAGGCTCCTATAATTAAATTCTTTTATAAGCAAGGACAAACAACAAAATGACCCTAGGGCATAAGGATCACAACTAAGACTACCTAAAAATCAAGAGCCTTTGTGCTTTTTGCTATGACCAGTCACCAACCTTCTGCGGCCACAGGCAACTCTCCTTTCTCTGCAGAGGCAGCTCCAGTATCAGGAGTCACTCTGGATTTGACAGCTTCCTCTTCAGGTTTCTTTTGAGGTTCTTTTTGTTTACCCTGATCCTTTTTACTTATTTCTAACTCTTCTTTTTCCTTCAGCTTCCGCAGTTTTGCTTTTTCTTCATCTCGCTTTTTCTTCTCACGCTCTTTCTTTTCTGCCTTTTTCTGGGCCACTGTCTTAATTTTGAATGAAGAGTCATCATCTTCATTCCCACTATCAACATTAGGACCAGGCTTATTTTTTTGATTTTTTTTCTGTCCTTTTCTAGCCTGCAAAACTTCATCAGACTCATCGCCACTTTCACCTGAAGAGTTCACTCTGGAACGCCCCTTGGTTCTTTTACTGTGGTCGTCATCCTCCTCTGAGCCATCCCACTTTCTATTTGACTTCTGAGCTTTCCCTTTAGCCTTTCTAGAAAGTTTATTAAAATCATCATCTTCACTCCCAGAGTGTATTTCCACTTTGGGTTTTACAGTCTTTTTTGACTTTGAATTTTTATCTTCTGATTCTTCGCTATCATTATCATCAAAACTTTGTTTTTTGCTCTTCTGTCCTTTCTTTTTTTTATCTTGTTTTGAGGTGGATTCTTCTTCATTGTTTTCTGTTGGCTAAAAAATTTCCACTGTTAGAAATATGAACAGAATTATTTTCATTTCATAAAAGACCCCCTCAGAGTCATGGGATGTGGTAAGCACATATTATAGAGATAGACAGACAGACAGACAGACAGAATGAATTTCATTTTTCTTTTCTTTTTTTTGTACCAGGGATCGAACTCAGATCCTTGTGCTTGTGAGGCAGGCAGCAGAACCACTGAGCTAAATTCCCAGCCCTAGATAGACAGAATTTAAAGCCAGCCTCTCAAGATAATTTCAAAATAGTCTTTTCAACCAAGGTCCAGAAGCTAGTTCAAAACTCCATCACATCTCACATTCACTACACATTTCAAATTCCAGGTGCTCTGAAACATTTACTAACTTCCTCAAATGGTATAGGAAACATAAGGGGGAAACTGAAAAACAGAAAAATAGCTATCACTTTCCCATCACTCTGAAGCTCATGTAAATTCAATGAATGAAAATGGAGGGATGGGTATGTAGCTTAGTGGCGTTATGCCTGCCTGGAATGAGCAAGGTCCTGAGTTCAATCACCAGTACAGGGGGGTTAAAAAAAAAAGGCAAAAATTGAAGGTGGAGATGTGAGATGCTATCATATCAGTCTTATCAATAGGAACATACTATTAAATATCTTTAGAATCCCACGTAAAGCATCTTTATATCTGTGAAAGATTTTAAATATACTATATTTCTTTCCTTAAAACTGTTTCCTTCTTTAGGCATCAAATTTTATAGTAACTTTTAACTAACCTATCTACATTTATAAGTGTTTCCAAATGCAGCTCCTAAAGCCAGCAGTAGGAAGCATGAACAGAACATGAACCCTGAATGAATAAAAATCTTTCACCTTCACTGCAACAGTTTCTCGGTCCGCTTTGATGCCTTGAGCTTCCAAAGACAATTCTTCCAGTTCTTTCAGAATATCATCTTCACTAGAAAAGAAAAACATTTTTGAAGCATTGGAATAGTTTAAGTGAATCTAGTACCTAAACTAATAAAAACCATATATATTTAACATATACTCACTCAAAGTCCTGCTTCTTTTTCTCCTTTTTCTTTTTCCCCTTTGTCTTTTGAAGTTCCTGTTCTTTGGCAGCACCCGCTCCTTCTATTTCTGCAGCCAATGCATCAAGATCAATGTCATCCTTGGCACTTACATGAAAACAAAGAAGACCGACATGTTACTCAGGAGCAAATAATTTAGCACATTCACTCTCACAGAAATTCTTATCACTCTAATTTTTTGTACTTATTGCCAGCACACTGACATTTGGCAGGTTCCTTCATGGCAATTTGAGTATCTACTTAACAGCCTCACTGCATCTGCTTCAATAGTTTCTGGGTCATGCTCAAATCACTCAGCTATAATGAAAAGGTTCAGAAAAAAACTAGGTACTTGAGAGAAGAGAAAATTAACTTTCTTGGAAACCAAAGTTGTTTTATGTGCTGCATGGAGGTATTTGTAAAGCAGAGAAAACTTAAAGGATAAAACAAGTCTTATTTCTTAACTATTAATAACATCTAATTGGACCCCTGTACATTTTTACTTGGAATAGCAGAAATTATAAAGTTGGAAGGAACTTTAGAGATCATCCAATCCAAACAAATCTAAATAAACAGGGATATACCATGTTCACTGACTAAAAGACTCAACACAATAAAGATGACAATTTAAAAAATAACACAGAGGTTTAATGCAATTCCAATAAAAATCTCTCAAGACTTTTAGGACATTGCTAAGTACAGAAAAGATGACTCTAAAACTTATAAGAAAGGGCAACGGACAAGAATAGCTAAAATGGCTTTGAAAAATAAAAAAAGAGTAAAACAGAAATCATTTCACCAGAGTTCAAAGCTTAATATATAGCTACAATAAGCAAAAGTACTAGCACAGAAACAGACACAAAAATTATCAAAAGAGAAACCAAAAATAGCCCCATAAAAGTTGGCAAACTTATTTTACAAAGGTATAAAATCAATTTAATACAAAAGACCAGACTTTTCAACAAATGTGCTGGTACAAATGTACATCCATACACGTAAAAAAACTAACCTCAACCTCCCTCCTTACACAAAAGTAAACTCAAGCTATGTAATGCACTTAAATAAGAAAGTTTTAAATGAAAAACAAAGCTTTTAGGAAAAATAAAACCTTTGGGACACACCATAAGCAAACAGGTTAATTTTGGAAATTAAAAGCATGATTCAAAAAACTAAAACTCATCAAATTTAAATACCTTGGCTGTGAGAAAGATCTTTGAGAGGAAAAGAGAAACAAGCTATGTAATGGGAGAAAGTATCTGTAAACCACACATCTGAAAAAGGACTAATATTAACACTCAACAGTAAAAACCCAAACAATTTAGTGAGAAAATAAACAAGAGGCATAAAACAGTATCCCACTGAAGATAAACTGATGTGGCAAATAAAAAGATAATCTATGCCATTAGCCATTTACATACCAATGAATGTTGCCTCCAAAAATAGTTATAATAATCAATGCTGGGAAGGCTACAGAGGAACTAGATCACTCATACACTGCTGGTAGGAATGTAAAATGGTATAGCTACTCTGGAAAATAGTCAAAGTTTTTTTTCTTTTCTTTTCTTTTCTTTTTTTTTGGTACCAGGGATTGAACTTGGGTCCTTGCGTTTGCAAGGCAGGCCACCGAACCACTGAGCTAAATCCCAGGCCCCTATAGTCAAAGTTTTTATAAAACTAAAAATGTACTTATACATACCCAGCAACTGCATTTTTGCACATTTATTCCTAAGTAATAAAAATTTGTTTACAGACAAACTTGTAGACAAGCATTTGTGCCTGTTTATAAACAGTAGCCAAAAATAAAGAATATTCTTTAATAGGTAAATGGTTAAATAAGATGTGATTCATTCCCATTCCACAAAATACTATTTAGCAATATGGAACAAACTATTGATATATGCAACAACTTAGTTGGAACTCAAGAGAATTAGGGTAAGAAGAAAGCAACCTAAAAGGGTTACATATACCGTGCATGATTCCATTTATAGAAGATATTTGAAAGGACAAAATCTTTAAAATATAGAACAGATTTGTGGATGTGCAAGAGGAAGATGGAGTGGGGAAAAATGAACAAAACAGAACCTTGTACTGATATTCTGCATCTTGATTATGGTAATGGATATACAAACATATACATGGGATAATATTGTATAAAACTAACACAAGTATAAATTAAACTAAGCAAATCTGAATATGGGCCGTAGATTTCATCAATATCAACATCTGGGTTATGATACCTTAGAACAATTTTGTAAGATTTACCGCTGGAAACTGGATAGAGTACACACATTTCTTTGTATTTCTTACAACTGAATGTGACTCCACAATGTCTCCAAATAAGATTATTTTAAAAACTATTTGCCAGGCATGGTGGCACACACCTATGATCCCAGCACTTGGGAGGCTGAGGTAGGAGGATCGCTGTGAGTTCGAGACCAGCCTGGGCTACATAGAGAGTTCCAGGGCAGTCTTAACTACATAGTGACACCCTGTCTCAAAAAACAAAAAAACAAAAAACTATTAATAAAATGAAAAGGCAAACTACAAACTGAGAAAATATCTGCAACACATGTATAATATTGGATGAAGGATTTGTCTAAATGTATAAAGAGCTCCTAGAAGCGAAATCAGCAACAATTTTTAATGGGAAAAAATTTTAAAAACACTTAACCAATGAAGGACATGAATGGCAAATAAATATATGAGATGTAAATTAAAACGACAATGAGATATCATTACACAGCCACTGGAATGATTAAAATTAAGGACTGATACTACCAAGTGCTGAAAGAAATGCAGAGCAACCGACCTCTCAGATATTCCTAAGGGAATGTAAAAATCACACAACTTGGACAGTTGGGCAGCTTCTTAGAAAGTTCAACAGACTTATAAGACCTAGCAATCCTAGGTAAATACTTAGAACTGAAAATACGTGTCTTACAAAAGGCTTGCTCCCAAATGTTCACAGCAGCTTTATTCATAATCACAGAAAGCTAGAAACAACCCAATATCCATCTACCAGATAATTTATAAGCAAATTAACATATACCCACACAATGAACTACTACACAGTTATAAACAAATAAAGAATGCCACATTCAGTAACATACATGGATTTACAGGCATTAGACTAAGCAAAGCCCAGTCAGGCAAGAAAGACTGACTACATAGTACTTTTATCAACTTCTACAAAGCACAAAATATAGTGACAAAAAACAAAACAACCCTATAATTACTGACCAAGAGTCTATTTTAGGGAGAAATGCTTGTTTACAATAGGTCGTAAGATAACATTTTGGGACAGCTGAACTATTCTATATATCGTGATTGTGATCAATACACAACTGCAGGGGCCAGGGATTCAGCTCAGTAGTTCTGCCACCTGCCTCGCAAGCACAAGGTCCAGAGTTCAATCCCCCGTCCCGCCAAAAAAAAAAAAAAAAAAATCACATCAATTGTTCCAAGGATTTAGTTCAGTGGTTCCGCTCCCTGCCTCACAAGCACATGGTCATGAGTTTGATCCCCCATACCAAAAACAAACAAAACAAAACACACACACACACACACAAAATACACAACTGCATATATTTGACTCATTAAATACTTGAAAAAGTTAATTTTGACAATTATTCCTAAAATATATGTGTGAAATTTCTATAAAAACAGCAAACAAATTAGAGTATATTTAATCAGCATATTAAGTACAGATAAAATTAAAACTATGAATGTCTAATACTAATCATTTATCATTTTAAAAGTCATGAACAAGAATAAATCTCCAATATTTTCTATTAACACAATGTAAATATGAAGTTAAAATGATATTATTATGAAGCAATTTTCTTAAATATGGTATTTATTGCATATGCAAGCATGTAATCAACTTTGATGTTTGGCTTTTGGAATAATTAAATAAATCATATGCAAAAATAAAAAAATAAGGGGACAGGGATATAGCTTGGGGGCAGAGCACTTGCTTATTAGAATGTGTGATTTTCTGGGTTAAATTTACGACATCAAAAATAAACATTAAGAAACTTTCCTCATTGAGACCAACATAACAAAGGCTTTTAAAGATACCTATCGCAAAAAGGTTCCAGGTAGAATAAGTACAAAGAAAATTAACCTCATTTATAAAGCTCTTCTCAATTCCATACTGAGTAAATTTCACTTAATCACAGGCATTTTGTGCCAAATATTAGTCTAATGGATGCAAAGTTAGAAACACAGGAAATTCAACTCCTTTCCAAAATTCAAAAACTCTTCCTTACTAGTTCTTCCTTCTCCATGTCTTTACCATCCTCTAAAGGTCAGAAAACATGGCTATAGTTTCTACAACACTGAGAGATGAAGTCCTGTTTCTTCCCTTTTAATGTGAGAACTCTGCTACTGCTTTCACCAACCAAAACATCAGAAACGGTGTTAAGTTTCTGGGCCTAGGCCAGGAACCATAGGCTTCTACTACTCCTTTGTTGGGATGCTCACTGTCGAGCTCATGTGGATGAATGTCCAGGCCACACAGAGCAGCCAAATACAGGTTCCAGCTGACAGCTCCAGTTCATGTCCCAATAGCCATCATCAACCACCAGAAGGAAATGAGTGATGTGACCTTAATAGGGGCATCATGGTGTGTTAAAGATGCCCCAGCATACTTTTCTAATTAAAACATTTACTTTAGCATGAGGGTATCCAGCTGTGCATCTCACTAGCTGCACTGGGGAAAAACAAGAAAGAATCTTTGTGTTTATCCACATGGTAGACAAATGGTATGGTGTATTTTACACGTGTCAAAGTAGCAACAGGTGAGTTTTACCCAATGTTACACACTGTGTTTTTTGTGATTTAAGAATTTATGTTTTCTTTTGATTTTTCTTGTAGAATTATCCCAATTCTGTACAATGTTGCAGAAAATTTGGTTTTACAATTTTAGGAGGTTGAAAGTGAGTCATTAGATAATTTGTCTACCGATGATGACTTAAATCACGTAAACCAAAGTTGTGACAGTAAGACAGAGCATGATATGACAAGATAAGTACAGAATGAAGACCCTGATTCAGATCAGGAAGACAGTAATGTAAACAAATATTTGACTAGTCAAAATACTACAA